TCATCCTTCCTCTTTCATCCTTCCTTCCTCCCTCCCTCTTTCATCCTCCTTCCCTCTTTCTTTCTTCATTCCTCCCTCTTTCTTTCATCCTCTTTCTTTCTTTCTTTCTTTCTTTCTTTCTTCTTTCCTCACTTCCTCTTTCATCCTCCCTCCCTCTTTCATCCTTCCTCCCTCCCTCCCTCCCTCTTTCATTCTCCCTCCCTCTTTCTTCCTTCCTCTTTCTTTCTTCCTTCCTTCCTTCCTTCCTTCCTTCCTTCCTTCCTTCCTTCCTTCCTTGTTTCCTCACTCCCTTTCGTTCTTCCTCACTCCCTTTCTTTCTCCCTCCCTCTTTCTTTTCTTTCTTTCTTCTTCCCTCCCTTCCTCTTTCTTTCTTCCTTCATTCCTCACTCCCTTTCGTTCTTCCTTCCTCAATCCCTCTTTCTTTCTTCCTTCCTCTTTCTCCCTCTTTCTTTTTTTCTTCCTCCCTCCCTCCCTCTTTCTTTCTTCCTTCCTCTTTCTCCCTCTTTCTTTTTTTCTTCTTCCCTCCCTCCCTCTTTCTTTCTCCTTCACTCCCTCTTTCTTTCTCCCTTCCTCTTTTCTTTCTTTCCTCTTTCCTTCCTTCCCCTTGTCTTTCTTTCTTTCTTTCTCTTTCTTTCTTTCTTTCACATCTGAATGTAAATCCGCATGATGGTAAGGATGCTGCAACGGTCGTAAGTGTGAAAAATGGTCAAAGGTCACTTTTTTCAGTGCCCTTGTAACTTCAGATGGTCACTAAAGGAGCTGTTGTTAGGCAAGGACTTCTTTCCTGCACTTTCTTGGCACTAGAAGCCTCAGGTAGCTTTTTTTTTTTTTTTTAAGGTTGTAAGTTCCTGTTAGTGAAAAGACGCGTCACTATTTGTAACCGCTAATTCGAAGAGCGAATCGTTGCCCTCAAAGGAGGAAACCCCAAAAGGATTCAGGCTTTTTTCCCCCACTCAAAATCCAAGTCTTTCAACCAGCGAAATTTTATTTTTCGGTCGAAATTCCCTTCATTTTTAAAAAAAAACCCTCCCCCATTGATCTCTGTCCCCTCAGATCTCAGGATGAGTTTGTGATATCGGACGAAAACCTGGACGAAAGCGAAGAGGATCAGCCGTCGAACGACGACAGCGACGTGGACTTCTCCAAGCGCAGGCCGAGACGGCACCACCCTCGGCCAATGAGGCAAAGCAGGCGCCTCCAGAGGAAAACGATCAAGAAAAGGTACTCGGAAGATGATGAAGAGGAAGACTCCGAGGATAACATAAGTGGGGACTCCGGTAAGTCTTGGTAATTGGACGGCTGTCCAAATATCGCGTGGTTCTGACCAGGGTCTCTTTTCCCAGAGAATCAACCCTCTTCTTACAGTAAGATAAGATAGGATTATTTGGGCTTTCTGTGCAGCGTGGGCGTCCAACCTTAGAGTGGTGCAGTGGCTTGGAGGTGGTGCTCTCGCCTCACAATCGGGGAGGCTGTGAGTTCGATCCTAGGTAAAGGCAGATATTTCCCTCTCTGGGCACAATGAGGATATATCTGCTGAACAAAACTCCGCATTGGCGACAGCAAGGGCATCCGGCCAGTAAAACACTCTGCTAGCTCCACTCAGTTGCCCAGACTCCATCCCTCAAGGGATTATGGGGTCGTTAAAAGAAAGAAAATGATGGGTGTCCAACCTTGGCAGCTGTTCTGACCCAAACTTTGTTCCAGGGAAACCAACACGAAACGGAGGTAACAGCAAAACCTTTTAATGATTCTTTACGAATTCCGTTCCTTCCCGGTTCAAAGGCTGTTTCAAACTCATTGTCTCTGATAAGAACGAGCCTTGCCAAGGTGGTGCAAGGCTGCCAAGAACACTAGATAAAGTTGCCAAGAAATATTTCAAACACAAAGAGTCTCCAAACACCAGCCAAGATATTCCTAACGTCCACAAGGTTTGAGTAGAAAAACTTCTTTGCTTCCTGCAAAGAACACTAGTCTCTCAGCTGCCTTTTATCTTCTTGAAGAAGGGGCCATTACCTTGCAGCCTTACTCCTGAGTCGCCCGTGCTGCTGCAGCTGCTCTTTCCTACAAGCAGCCCTGCATGCATGCACACTGGGCACAGGCTCCTCGGGAACCTCCTCATCGTTGCTGCCAGCCTCCACAATCTCCAAAGGCCGCACTCCACTCCCTGATGGTCCTGGCCCCATCCCTGCATCACACGCAGGCCCCTTATCTGAGTCCTCGCTCTGCGAGACCTCAGCCGTCCCCACCTGCTGCCGGTGAACCACAACAGTAGCTTGAAGACCTGTGGACTTCCAACTCCCAAAATTCCCCAGCCAGCCCTGTTGAATTTGAGCGTTTTCAGACAGGAAAAACAAGGATCGAGCTGTTCTGAAACATTTTGCATGGATGCGCGGATGCTCGTTCCACATAACATGCTCCGACCTGGAAATGGGCTGAAATATTTGGAAGGGTCTTATTTGGGGGTCAGACTACTTAGTACAGCCTACCTTCCATTTTCCCCACAACAACCCTGTGAGGTGGGTTGGGTTGAGAGAGGAAGTGGCCCAGCTGGCTTTCATGCCTAAGGTAGGACTAGAACTCACAGTCTCCCACAGTTTCAAGCCTGGTGCCTTCACCACTAGACCAAACTGCCTCTCTTTAACCAAGTTTTCCCTCAGATTGGGTGAAAATCATATCTGAATAGTTACAGATATTCAAGTTTGCTAGATCGTTGCTTCTCCACTATGACAATGGTAAGATGTGCGGACTTCAACTCCCAGAATTCTCAGCGGTAGACTTGCCGGCAAGGGAATTGTGGGAAATGAGGGTCACAAATGGTTATTGGGATTAGAAAATGTTATGGTAGATCAGTGCTTCTCAACTTATGACAACGATGAGAGGAGTGGACTTCCAACTCCCAGAATTCCCCAGCCAGTGTGAATCCTGGGAGTTGAAGTCCACCCGTCTCAACGTGGCTGTGATTGGCAAACCCTGCCCCAGATAAACCGACCTAGACATCTTCCTTCCTTCCTTCCTTCCTTCTCTCCTGGCTTGCTGCCTCGCACAGAAACCGATGGTTCTTCCGAATACAGCGATGAGGATTGTTTGGAAACAAGGCGAAGGTCTCGGCGGAATCAGAAGCGACAAGTCAACTACAAGGAAGATTCGGAAAGCGAGGGGTCTCAAAAAAGCTTCCGATACGGGAAAGAGATGAGGAGAATACATAAGCGCAGGCTTTCCAGCTCAGACAGTGAAGGTAGGACATGCGTTTATTTTATTTCCTATTCTTAGTCAACATTTAAATCCCACCAGGATCGTGGAAGACTTTCTCCGCCATTTACTAAGGTAACGAACTCCATTTTCAGTGTGAAGTTTGTATTTATTTATGACTTTTCTCCAGAAGTTCAAAGGATTCATCCCTTTTCTTGTTTTCTCATCATAACCCCGCATGGTCGTTTAGCTAGAGAAGTAACCCAAAAGGTCACTCAGACAATGTCATACAACACAGGCATGTCATTTAGTCACTGTTTGAGCACATAAAAAGCATGAAAAAAGGGGCCTTATGACTAGTTCTCACGACTGTTGCGGTATAATCACGAGACCAGTGGGGGACTGTTTGAAGTGCCAACGGCACTGAAAAAAGTGACTTATGGCCGTTTTTCCCACGGCATTCCCCATGGTCACGTGATTTACATTCAGATGCTTGAGAAGGAAAGGAAGGAAAGAAGGAAGGAAGGGAGGGAGGGAAGGAAGAAAAGGAAGGAAGGAAGGGGGGGGAGAAAAAGAGAGAGAGAAAGGGGGAGAGAGAAAAAAGAAAGAAAAGAAAGGGAGGGAGGGAGGGCAGGAAGGAAGGGGAGGGAGAAAGAAAGGAAGGAAGGGGAGGGGGAGAGAAAGAAAGAAAGAAGGGGAGGGAGAGAAATAAAGAAAAAGGAAGGAAGGAAGGAAGGAAGGAAGGAAGGAAAGAAAGAAAGAAAGAAAGAAAGAAAGAAAGAAAGAAAGAAAGAA